AAGATAGAGACTTGAAGAAGATCCATGCGAAGGCCTTTGCTGGTTGCTGGGCGTTGGCGAATATTTCCCTTCCGTATTCAGCCATTTTTACGCACAATACCTTCCAGAACTGTAATTTGTTCGCCAGAGAAGGAGAATGGGATCCAACTGAGTTTCTTCGAATGCGATATGATGGTAGTCCAGTCCACAAAATATGATACGACTCCTCTTCACAGACAAGTGACACTGTGAACCAACTACTTCAAGTGTGGGAGGAGTTGTCGTCGTCCAACACTAAATGGTTGGAAGATAGGTTGCGCTATGACGACGATCTTGGTATGAATCCGTTTCATATCGTGGTGACCTCTGTGAACTTGAAGAAGGAAATATTGGAATTTCTCTTGAATCGATATCCGAAAAAGGTGCTTGTTTCTGGGGACTTTAACGCCAAAACCATGATGGACTACCTATTGATCCGTTCCTCCAAAGAAGCTGTCCCCTTGATTCAAATGACACTGCAAAAGGTATTTGTAACTTCCATTAATGATTGGGGTATGGGATTGATACCCAAATGGAAGGCTGATTTGGAACAGCACATTCTGTCCCTACACGTACCAACAGCAGTTGACCATGACATTCAAACGAGACGGAAACTCGTTCGAGAGATTTTCAAACGTGTCGGATACTACACGAGAATAGAGAAAACATCACAAATTGAGCTAGCGCTGAGAATAAAAGAAGCCTTGATGGAGGAAAAACGAGAATGCGAGATTGATCGTAGACAATGCCAATTGCATTGTGGAGCAGGAATCGCCATTGAGAATGTATTTGGATTTCTTTGGAATGGCGAATCAAGAGCCCAAACGGCCCTATCGATGTTTCCCCGCTTTTGTGCAAGTTCGAGTATTGGAGAAGAAGATGTCAAGAATAAATGAAAGGAACGATAAGTTGGAACCTAACTGCGATTGACGAGAAATACTTGTACTGTAGATTTTTTAAATGAAAAAGAGACAATCTTCAATCTGCTTC